TAAGGTATTCTATTTACAATCGATACTCATAGATAATTATAAGTAAGTTACACTAACCTTGATCAGTCCTTAGGGTCTTCTTCGACCCAAATTGAGATTAATCTTTGCTGTAACTTCTTTTAAGGGGCTGGCAAAGTTTAACGTGATGCTGTGGCTTGGTATGTAATTTACAAAGGACGTTATTTACAATGAATTTCTGTGTGAGTGTATTACTGTGTAACATATTATTCATTAAACAATCTGTTGAGTACGTCAAACGAATCTCTTTAATCTATTATACGCAGAAGCTTTGAACGGTTAAGCTTATCATATTTTATTTGATCAACAAAATATTCTGATGATTAAGTAGGCGCAAGACATAGTGACTGTTGAAATTTAGAATTTCTTCTTTTGCTATTGGTATTCCCAGATCATGATGGAACATCTCATTTGTACCGTGTCAAAGAGCATGCGAGATAAATCGTGAAATGTTGAACTGAAATCGCTGAGAATCTCAAGACAATTGGAATTGCTAACAGTGCCTCATAACTGAACCCCATAAATCTTTATATATTGGTTAACCTTGTTTTCGAAGTTCAACCCTGGCTCTGTGATACCGTGTCGGACTCGCGATGAAAATTATCAATCATGTTACGTGACAATATTTTCCATGCGACTTTCTTCAGTATCTGGCAAGAAACGTCCTACAGATAATCTCTTCATGTAAATAATCTGAGCTATGCTTTGGATTTCACTTTAAAATAAAGCAGTTGGAATATGACGCAACGTAACCGTACCAATACTCCGTATAGTCTTTCCTACTTCTTTTTTGGAGTATATAAACACATGAATTTCTACTCTCGTCGATCAGAAATCGGATAGTTACCCGCGACGTTACATCGTTACATCCATAAACATGGAAGTCAGCCGTGTATTCGCGTCGATCGGGTTTCATAAAACTCAATTCCAGTAAAATCAGGCTGAAATTCCTTTTCGAATCGAAGTAATCTCATAAACGTCACGAGCCCGGTAAAGTTCTAGTTGGCAGTCGTTTCCATCACTCTCAGAGCCTGCATTGCCAGTACGTCAACACCGAGGAACCTAGGTAACAATTTTGTATAATCCTTTCAAATTCATCCGAGATACTGAACATTCTTGCAGAGCCACAGTTATTCAGAATGTAACTAAGTTATTTGATAAACGTTGCGATTCTCTAAAAACCGTCAATTATCGTCCAGTATCCTAATCTAGCGATGGAACGTTCGCACACGATACAATCTTACCGCTCAGATCGTATCAACTACTCATAATTATAGCGTTACGAGGTCTACTAACGATCCTTGCCAATCCCCGATTTCGCATCAGGTTCGTTCGCAACAATTTACTCAAAAAAAAAGATGTATGATTATATATCATTCTTTCGAACAGTTTTGATTGGCTTGGTAATAGGCTAATGGATCGATGTAAAGTTACTTTATGGGGCGAAGAATAGGAAAACGTACAATAAAACTGTTTTCCTTCTACGATTTGCAAGTCAAGAAAATCGAGATAAAATATTTATTGAATAGGTAAATACCTTCTGAACGTTTCTCCGGAGATAGTCTGCGGAATAGCACAGGGACAAGTCGAGATTCTCGTTATGTGTTCTGTTTATAATTTTGATTGGTTACGTATAACCGTTTTGACGAATAGAAAAACAATTTTGAAAATGAGATAATTGAGGTAACTGAGGAATGAGATCTGAAATAAAAAGAAATGTCGTTTTATGCTTCAAACTTCTTTAGATTTTTCAACGACTTTCACGTTCTATACTCTTAACCACGTGTTCATAGATTCTATTACAATCATCATCGATAATCTTTAATAAATTCTCACCAGGCGATATATAGATCAGTAACAAGTAAATATTATTTGAATTTATTAGAAGAATATACTTTCAATTCGCACATTCCTAAGAGTTAACGATCAATATCATCCACCTATCGAAGTCACAATTCGTTAAATTGTAAATAAATTTCAATATGATATCGCCGACTGTACCATGCTTTCCTTGGGGTTACGTTAAATCGAATGTTAATACAAACGACCTATACACGGTCGAGTGACTGGAGACCAATATTCATGAAGTTACACGTGGCATAGAATCCGAACTATATAAAAATTAAAGCGATCGAATATGTGTATATAGGCCATCATGCAAAACCGAGATTGTTATTTAAATGATATTATACACCACACCTAAATTCATAAAATACTTGCACTGTATATTGAAATAAAGGCTATGAAATTCTACATTGCAGCAGCGTGTAGTAAACAGTTTTAGCGAAGTTTCCAATCCGACAGTAATGAAATCATTTTTCTACTGAACTATAAAGTTGGAAAAGGTTTTAAAAGGTGGTTCTGCTTTACGAGTTTTGAAAAACCAAAATTTTAGTGCACCTCTTGAGTCTCTTATGTGTCTGCAATACGTGGTTAAGTGAAATACTATAGTATGAAGACATATTTAAATAATACTCAAAGAATAATGATTATAATAAAAGAGTAGGGAGAGCTTCAACACACGCAGGTGGACTTTGGCACCGAAAGCAAACATTTATTGCACGGTCAGCAATAATTGTACCGTTGGTATACACGAACCGAAAATAATTGTGTTTCTTTCGTGCGACACTTGAAACGCGTTTTTGTCGAAACGCGTTTCATTCATACTTTGACTTATTTCTTGAAAAACATAGTAAGAAAATTATAATTGATACTGATAAACAGAAGCGCCTCCGCGCTCTGCGCAATTTTGGCACAACACCAGAAGAGCGCTGTAGCGCTCCTCAGCACTCAAACGGTTAAAATCGTGCGGCATTCAACGTGTTAACCCTTTCAACTCTGTAGGCTCCAATATTGCACCAGTTATGATATTAAATATTTCAATGAATCTTAAAGAAACGAAAAGATTTCCCGCAGATCCAAATTTTCTACTAAGAAGGAAAATAAAAGATCGAAGAAATGTTATAGCATTTCTAATTTTCACTGGGAATACTATAAAAATTAGTTGCAGCTGCTGATAGATTACAAAACCATCTGGAGTGCTAAGGGTTAAACCTTCGCGGTCCAAAACGTTTTTGTTTTCATTCGTTTCCACCAACGTTCTCTACTATAATCAATAACAGTAAACGTAGAAAGAACAATGAAATAATAATTGTATCTTACTGGCAAGAGAGCTTCCGCTTCCTTGGAATCGGCGCGAACTCATCGGAAGTGTCCGTATTGGCCGGACCATGGCTCGGTGTCGTGGAGGCGCTACGCTGTTGATTATGACGATGATGGTGGTTGTGATGATGATGATGATGATGGTGACGGTGATGGTAATGATGATGGCCGGAGGCGGGTGCCTGGTCGGGTACCATGGTCGGGGGTGTCTCCATAGGCTGGGGCGGTTCTGCCCCCGTTACGACCCCCTGGTTGCTGTTATCGTTCCCAGTGGCTGGTGCGATCGTGCTGGTAGTGGTGATGGTAACGGTGGTAGCGCAGGTCGTGTTCGGGGTGGTGGTGGCTGTTTCGTTGGTGGCGGGGGTTGGAGTCAGGCTGAGACCATCGCCACCCCCCGCCGGGACCGCAGATACCTCGCCCACGCCAGAGGCCGCCCCTATGTCGCCGAAGTAAACCGTGGAACAGGTATTTCTGAAACAATAAATCGCATTTCCATTGATCAGGGACACGTAAACAGCTCCATTCGGTGAACCTACAGTGACGAGCAAAACTGTAAACGCAGACTGTTAGTTCTGTAAGAAACCCGATAATACTATCGATTGTTCAATTAATTGATACGGATAAGATAATCGTAATTACAAGATGGCTAAAAATTTACCAGCTTAGTTTCATTTATGTTAGTAACCCCTTGCCTCGCAATATCGTGTCAGACTCGCGATGAAGATTTCAAATAGAATATAACAAACACGAGTATAATTGAATTCTTTCGAATTCAAATGAAATATACTTCTTCTGTTATCAACTATTGTACTTTCGATCAAACAAAGACATAGAATATCCCTATAATTTTTCTCTCCTTTTCAATAAATTAGTAAAGACAAAGTAGTCGTGTCGATTATAATTGAGAATGAAATCATAGGGCAAGAGATTAAACGTATCAGAATATATTACGTAAATAGGGACTTGAAGCAATGTTTACAGTGTTGCACGTTGTCGGCCGAGGCGAGTAATCGAATGTGAATAACTTAGTCAAGAGAAAAGAAACTGTACCGTTCCCTTATGTAATAAAGGTTTATCGCTACTGCAAACTGCACAGGTGTAAGTCGTGCAATAGTTTCGAATTTAAAAAAACAGTATGACAGTGCATCAAATTCCTCGAGAAATGATAAGCGGCAAATGATTTCAGAGAGGCGCGTGAAACTGTACGTCGCACTCGATTCGATCTGTATGTCAGAAAACGCCGGAGAAAGCTGCTAAAGAAATTGGGATAAAGACCAGCAGATGAATCATTCGCCGCTCTGTAAAGAGAATTGATTTGAAAGCAAAGGAGAAGAAACGCAAACCATCTCTTTTCGATAAGATACATTAGATTCCGTAAATAATTTGCTGATACATACAAATAATGTACCATAGAAGACTGAAAAAGAGTTATTCGGTCTGACGAGACGAAAGTGAATAGATTCGAATCTGACGGGAGATCCTGGTATTGAACATCCGACAATGCAGATCATCAAACGGCTGATATAAAACAAACTATGAAGTTCGGTGGAGGCTCCATCATGTGTTGAGGCTGTTTCACACTTAACCCTTTGCACTCGAAAGTTTTTCACTTGAAATATTCAATACTTTCCAATTAGATGTAGACAAGATTCTCTAAAATGAATTTATCAAGAAATCACACATAAATTGGGGAACAAAGTTATTTCCTTTCAATATTTCACGTATTGATGCAGTATACAAAGTTAAATGGTAAATACAAAAGTTTACAATTTCACTGTATCAAATCATCTCGCGCCTGGGAGTCATCTCTCGAGTGCAAAGGGTTAACCCTTTTAGCGTCGAGTGCGAAACGGGTGCCTATGCGAAGATAACCGGACGAATTTGACGATTTTACTAAGGTTTGGGGAAAAGCTCAGAAAACCAAACTAAGAATGATATTTAAAAAATTCAAAATGCAGCGTATTACGGAAGAAAGGGAGGATAATGTAATGCCAATTGTATTTCAATAGTTATTGAAAATCGCACGAATAACATTAATATAAAACGTGATGAAAAACATAAGAACAAGTTTCTCTTCTGCAAACAATATTTGCACATAAGAATAGTTATCGTTTGATCACAGTTTCCTGTAGATCACGTAGTATGAAGTATGATGCACGGCGTGGCGCACGAGCTCTCGGATAACTATCATAAACATTGCGATTACGGTCCCAAGAAACTGTCGCGTGTCGAGTTTCTACCTTATCGCTCCAGCGTATACAAAGCCTCGGCACCGACCAACATAAATATAACAAAAAGTTAAACCCAAAACAATCTTTTATATTCTTTTGCAATGAAATTAGATCATTTATAACGTTTTATAAATTTATTTTGAGATAAAGCTTTCTCGCAATGCGAAGAATAAACGATATACCGTCGTTGGCACTTTTTGCAAGTGTAGCGAACGACGATGTACCGTCGCCTGGCACTAAAAGGGTTAAGGGTTAAATTTGAACATTTTGTTAGACTTGAAGGTATTATGCGCAAAGAGGATTATTGAGTTAATGATTGAGCACGCTTGTGAGTGACCGGTGTCGCCTTGCCACTGGGAAATAAGGGTGACCGCGTGTGGACAAGTCGAGTGTCTGGAGAAGCGCGAAAGAAGAGCGCTTGAGATTGCGAGAATCAGGTGTAACAACGTAGCGTGGACTGCGTGAGTTTTAATTACGGATGCGAGGGTCAGAGTGCGAGCGAAAAGAGATACACGTGAGAAGAAAACAAGAGCAATTGGAGGTGAAAGATATAACTGCGTGGATGTTCGGCGGCGAATCAATCGGTGGAGCGTCAGAATTTAGAGCGAGCAGTGAGAGCGATTTTTCGTGCGAATTAGCGAGCGAGAGGATCTATTACAAGCAGTTTTATGTCAATATAGCGTTACTTGTTTTATGTTGTTCATTATTATAGTCTTCTGTTATTTCGATTCGCTCCGTGATTCTATTCGCCTCGGCCTACCTTGTATATAATAGTATAAATAAAAATAAACTGCTAAATTTTGTTTAAATTACGATTATCTAAACCTTATCGGTCAATTGAATAATTGGTAGTATTATCGAGTTTTTTTTATAGAACTAACAGTGTATGTTTACAGTTTCGCTCGTCACTGTATGTATTTGGTTTGCCATTGTTAAGAATTTTCTAGCCGGTGAGTTAGATAATTTTCGGAATCTGTGGGCTATCGTCCAGAATTTGATGACAAATTTGACATGTAATTCTTAGCTTAACACGTTGAATGCCATGGGGGTCACCGGTGACCCCCAATCAAATCGACTTACTTTAATTCGCTCAATTAAACGATGATTATTCGAAAATATTTATATATTACAAATAATGCTATCTAATGCGGTGACATTCAGCAAGATGGACGTGCAATTATAGTAATGAAATTCAATCGAATGATTTAATATTTGATTTTTTCCATTTTGTGTATTTTCCGCCATGAAATCGTGCGGCATTCAACGTGTTAGTGAACAAACATAACCTTTATTTGTTGAATTACCAAAGGTTCTTTTGTGTTTATCTTTCATGTTTCATTCAAATCGATATTGAACAGCGATATGTTATTAGTATTAAAATTTTTTACTTTCTAAAGCCGAAATTTAAAAGTACATTCTCCAAAAGGTCAAACATACACACTTAGAGTTAAAACAATTGATATACTTTGTAAACTTCCGATATAAATAAGAAATGTCCAGTAGCATCGGTTAATGCAATTGAAATTATGTAATTTTATGTAGGGAAAAACAGGGTGGCCTTCGTAAGCCGTCTTGGCGGCCGTTTATAATTATGCGGAGCAAACTACGCACGTGATTTCTTACAATAATCAGTCGCAAGTATTCGAAACAAATATTATTCGATATTATTAACAATTTTGAAAACATTCCCGAGTATCAGTTTACACGAAGCTTTCCACAAACCTCGTGTTTTTATTTTTAATAACATTTCAAACATTAACAACTATTTAGCAAATAGATATTTACGGTGCAATTCCCATTACTCGTTTTGGTTTTAACCAATAGAAAAAATAAATATTGTTGTCATACCGAGAAAAATAAAGCTCCAACCATTGCACCGCATATAATAAAATAGATGTGTTAGTATTTTCCTCAACAGTTAAGTTGGTCGAGTTAGCAATTTTCGAGGGAACTGTGGGTTGAAGGAAACTTGTGATCCGCGAAACCATGTTTCAAAGAATGAAATTCGAGAAAAGTGCGCTTAAAATATTTCCGCCACTTATCCACATTTACTGTAAACTAAATTAACATTTACTAAATTGTGAAGTGGTGTAATAACCTTTCATGACATACATGGCAAAGTGCATATTTCTTTCAACCAGTGGTTAGAAAAAGAGACTTCTCACCGATTTCAATGACCTTAAAGCATAAAACTAACGAGGTTATTCTGAACAACTTTCCCTATATATATTACCTCTGTACAGCCGTAGGTTTCGAAATATTTATAAAAATATATTTCATACTTCTCAAAGGATAAATTTCACGAATTTCAAAGATTTCTGAATGTGTAAAGTTATATATATTTGACAGTGTACATTTCGTTAGTTTACATTTCGGTTTCTTCGACAATTTATTTCATTGTCAAATGTTTCAGTAAAAATTATTTACTTGTTTAAGCCAAATTGATACCTTGATTCTTCAAATTTATAAAAATAAGTTTCATGTAGATAGCATAATTAGTGAGGTTTCTTTCTTTGAGATAATGACACTTAAGTGATACTTAAATGACATTTAAGTCAGAACTGACCAAAATCCTACCATTCTGAATCTGGCGATTTTTATGAATGTCTCGAAAATCAAACAGGTCGGCGTATTTGTAACAGAAAAAGGTTATCCGAAATATCGATTTTTACAAAATATTCAAAAATTACACTATGGAACGAATTTGAACTTTTTTTGTGTCTTACAAGAATCACTAGGTGATTCTTATAGAATTCCTTACCCTAAATATAAATCCGAAAATCAAATTGCTGGGTCACGTCCAGTTTACGAAAAAACTGGCTTTTTGTAAAAACGGTCGAATTTTTCAGAGTACCAAGTGTTACGTGAAAACTAAAAACGATAGGCAGTTAAAGTTTGTCGCAGAAAATAAAGGAGACTTGCCCGAACACGTAGCTATAAAAATTTTGAATTTTCCGTATCATTAAATGTTTGGAAATGATGATCAAAGTTTAAAAAAGAGTAGATGCGCGTTCTTTGTATGCACTTCTGTCACATTTCTACGAAAAGCGGGTCGGCTAGCACGAATTTGCTATGCGCCATTGGATTCTACAGACATTTCTGAAGATGAACCCCCCGCGGGAAGCGTGAGATCGGTTTTTCCTTGGGCCAGGGTAAGAAAATGTCCGCGAAGAGCGCGTGCATGGAACTTTCACGCCACACGGCCATCGCTCGCCGGCTACAGCTATACAGAGCCGTGAG